GAACAAGAGATACATGATGATCTGGAAGGGAATGAAGGAGGAGTTACAACGCCGCAGAAGATCAAGGAAGGCCAGAGGCCTGTTAGGAAGGACATAAAGGAAAACAAGAATTGGATGATGAAAATTTGGTTTGAATTGGACAATGAAGATTGGAGAGATCTCCTGATGTGGAGATCTGAAGACCTATGGATTACAAATTTGATCAAGATGGAAGTTGGAGCATTTGGGACATCCAGACTCAAAAGGATTAAGAAACAAGATTTGAGCTCCACTTTTAAATATAGAGGTCTGGATGGAAGAAAAATGGACATTTTCGAGACAGAGCTTCTCCGAGATTTGGTGCTTGATATAAAGGACTATCAAAAAAACCGGCAAAGAGGAACTGAGAGAGAATTAAGGGCCTCGGATGTGAGGTCTCCAGGCTGATAGCAGATAGACTGATGGACATTGGGGATCGAAACCGGGAAAGGGGGGTTGGAGCTTGGGAATCCAAAGGGTGTACAATTATATTTTGAATTTTTCTTCTTTTTTTATTTTGTTTTGCTATGAGTACAAAAAAGGGGAATTTGTGGAAGGGAATTGGGGTTGACCTTAGAAAAAGATTCTAATGTATAAAGACTGTGGATTATAAGGGGAAAGTGGCTATATAAAATGAACTAAATTGAATAATGAACTAAATACAATAACGTCAAAAATTAGGGATAAGAACTTGTTGAACTAAACAAATGGAAATGGAATACAAGAAGGGGAGGTGTGGGGAAGTCTTGGAAAGATGTTATTGAAAATAAGGTTTAAATGGTAAATGTTTTCTTTTTTCTTTTTTTCTGGATTTTTTGAAAATTTCAATAAATATGTTATTAAAAAAAAAATTGGTCTGCCATCTTGGTTCAAAATGGCACAATGTCAGGGAAGGACAGGATGAGGAAGAGTGGTGGGAACTGCCCACCATGGCTTAGATCCTGGATTGTGGTGTAGGACCCTGCAGAGCAGTCTGCAGAAGCGATGAGCTGCAATGTGCTAGACTAGAGGCAGAGGGTTTGAGCGATCCGGGGGGGGGGGTCAGGAGAAGGATCTGAGACTGAGAGTCAGACAGAGAGGAGTCAGAAGTTGCCCCTGCTACACAGAAAAGGTGTAGAGATTGACTGGCAGCAATATGACGGTGTAGGCCGGTAGCTCTCTAGCCAGAATGGGAAAATCACTCTTGAAGGTTGTACTTTAGGAGTGCTGCAGGGTTCAAGACTTTATTTTTGAGCAGACTTTGCAGTCAGGGCTGAGCAGACCCAAGGACAATAGTGTTCAACACTATTTTGTACACATGGTGAAAATTATGAAAAAATTAAGGTATGTACTTTAATTTAAGGCATATGTACTTTTTTCTATTCCATTGCTAGTATGTGATAATTCAATTAGTGCTTAAATGTATGCAAAGTGTCCTTTTCACAGTAGCATATGAGCATTACTGAAATGACCCTGACAACTGATCATAATCACCATCCATCTGGTGGTCTTTCTAAGTCCTCAAAATCATATGGCAAAGCAAAAACTGTTAAGTCTATAAGGTGCTATTAGACTCTTTCTAACTTTTCTCCCTGCTGCCCTGTCAGCCAGCCACCTCCCATAAGCCCTTTCCTTCCTATGCCATTCTATTCCATTTTTATATTCCAAGCTCCACCCACATTCCACAGGGGAATCTATTTACTGTTGCTATGTTCAGAATCCTCTGCCTCTTTTAAATGGCATACAGGCTCCCTCCCATCTATCTGCTAACCTGACAAAGGGCTTCCCTTTCCGAGATGAGGTGCCAGATTTGATGCTTCATAGTTCCTGCTCCATCTTTCTGGGAAGATGACTGGTACTATGGCATGGCTACTTGTGATGCTTTTAAATAATCTCCTGGCTGAGACTAGTGGCCAGACACCACCACAGGGCTTTAGGTATGCCTCTTATGAGGTGACCATCCCAAGGAAACTGAGCATCCGATATGGACAAGAGGAAATCCAGGATGTCAGCTACCTACTGCAGATTGAGGGGAAGAGCCAGGTGGTGCATCTCAGGCAGAAGAAGGGCATTGTTCCTAAACACTTTCCCATCTTCACGTACAATGAGGGGAACCTCCAGGTTGACTATCCTTTCATCAGGGACGATTGTTTCTACAGTGGCTTCATACAGGGCAATCCTAACTCTTCAGCCACCATCACCACTTGCTCAGGAGGACTCAAGGGCGTGTTCCAATTAGAAAACAAGACGTTTGAAATTCACCCTGCCCAGGCATCTGCTACCTTTCAACATGTGGTGTATCAGCTGAGTGTAGACGAAGATGTCACGCGCATGAGGTGCGGGTTGACGGAGAAAGAGCAAAGTCATCAAGAGGCCATGATCCGGGAGGCAGAGCGTGTTGTAGTACAAAGTGCTCCGGCGGGACGCTGGTGGCCACACATCAGATACGCAAAGGTGGCAGTTGTGGTGTCACATGAACAATATGCTAAGTTTAATAATAACGAAACTGATACTGCTTTGACTATTTTCTACGTCATCCATACTGCAAATGAATTCTACGAGCCACTTGGTCTTCAGATCTCTCTTGTGGGGCTGGAGATATGGTCAGAAAAGGACCTAATAACAATTAGTGATAGAATTGGGGCCGCACTTTCTGCTTTTAATGCATGGAGACGGGACACGTTACTTAAACACTTAAAGAATGATGTTGCTCACTTATTTACGCATAAGGATTTTGGACAGCGTGTTGGATTGGCGTATGTAAACACTATTTGTACTGCTAGTTGGGGATCCGTTGTCCAAACATTAAAGTCTTCAGATTTGAACTTACTCTCTGTAACATTTGCCCATGAATTAGGCCATTCTATTGGTTTGACACATGATGCAGCAGATTGTAAATGTGATAGGCGTAGATGCATTATGGATGCTGCTGCGGTAAACACTGATAAGTTTAGCAATTGCAGTTATGAACAGTATTACACAAACAGGAACAAGGCTTGCTTGTTAATTCCTCCAGAGCCTGATCAAATATACAAGTTTGAAATCTGTGGGAACAAAGTAGTCGAAAAAGGAGAGCAATGTGATTGTGGTACCAGTACTCAGTGTGAATTGGATCCCTGCTGCCAGCCTAATTGCATGTTGCGTCCAGGTGCCAATTGTGCTTCTGGACAGTGCTGTGTCAGGTGTCAGTACCGTGCAGCCGGATACACTTGCAGAGGGAATATCAGTGTCTGTGATCTTGCAGAGTACTGCAGTGGGGCTTCAGAGCGGTGTCCTGAGGATGTTTATGTGCAAGATGGTGCCCCATGCAGTGATGGTGCCTATTGCTATCATGGTCATTGTACTACTCACAATGCGCAGTGCAAAGCCATCTTTGGCAAGGATGCAACAATTGCTGCAGAGAGTTGTTACAAAATACTGAATGCTCAAGGTGATCGCTTTGGAAACTGTGGTTTTAGGCGTGGTAGATATATTAAATGTAATGCTGATAATACTCTGTGTGGCCGAATCCATTGTGATAATATTCGTGGATTACCTTCTTTGGCAGAACACAGCACCCTAATTCAAACATTTGTTGGTGATACTAAGTGCTGGAGTACAGACTACCACAAAGGACTGGGGAGAGGTGATATTGGAGCAGTGCAAGACGGGACTCCTTGTGGCATGGGTATGATGTGTATTGATTCAGAATGCAAGAACGTGTCCCTCTTGAAGTACGATTGTAATGTCTCAATGTGCAATAACAGGGGAATATGCAACAACCATAAGCACTGCCATTGCAATTATGGCTGGGCCCCTCCTGACTGCCTAAAGGAAGGTTATGGTGGCAGCATTGAAAGTGGACCAACTTCAAAAGAATGGAGTGGTATCGTTATGGGAATTTTTGTAGGATGCGTATTATTTGTTTCTGTTGCAACTCTTGGTGTTAGTATGGCTTTGTATTACAGGATTGTGCTGAGAAACCACCTTCGAAGAATAAGTGCCAGAATCAGCGTTGGAGGAGAAACCTCAAGAGATCACAAAAGCTTGTAGAGTGTTGTATCTGAGAGTGTTATATAACATATAGTGGAATTCATAAGCTTTGAATAAAGGTGTTGTTTTTTGAGAAAACCTGCTTGTTAATTCAGTCTGTATCATACATAAATAACTGATTCATCCACAAACAAAAAACGTTTGCTGTATGCTCTCTGTGCTTTAACAGAATTATTTTTTTTCTATCCTAGAGTGGGGGAAGGAGAAAATCTGTGCTGTAAAATGATTGACTATGCACTCTGAATGAAATCCACAAATTAAACAGGAGGACTCCATACCTATAGAAACCAATTTAAGCCATTGTATTTTTTAAAATGCTTCAGTTGTACAGGGATAGGATCATACCCAAATCCTCTAATTTTCACTGTTATTATGCTAGTAAAGGTAAGGGTACCCCTGACTGTTAGGTCCAGTCGCCGACGACTCTGGTTGTACTGTATAGTTAATTCACACTAGTCCAGCAAACAACATTGCAAAAGTGAAAGCGATAGCAGTGATAGCACTAAATGTTAGTGTTGAAATGAAACAGCCTACCATTATATTTAACGATCACAAACAACAGAGTTTAAGCACCGATTGTGCAAATACTAAAAACACAGCGCTCACGTAATTTGAAAAGTCCAGATATTCTGCCCCAAAGGCTTGTTTATTCGGGTGTAAATCAAATGCCCGGCAATAAAGCTGATAATGTCCAGTTTGCAAAATTGCGTGCTCTCCGCCTTAGCAGATTGTCCCAAAGTGATTAGCTCTTTCAGTGCAGCCCTGGTCAGCTGCCGAGGCTCCCGCCACACAGCCTTAAGCTCCAGCTGCTGCTATCATCATGACCCAGCAGCGATGAAAACATTAATCCAAGTTCAGATCCTGGCCCTTCCATTGCTTTTGCTTCGCTGATGCGGGCCAGTGCTGACTCCTGATTGGAGGCCGCATTCCCCCTCCGGCAGCGAGGTTGCAGCGGCCCCTCCTGGTATCCGGCGCAACCTCGGGGGCGTGAGCCTTGTCGGAACCAGGAAGCGAGCTGCTGCCAGGGCTGGGGCGACAGGCAGCAAGCAGGGAAGGTGCTCTTCGGATTTCCTGCCTCGTCCTCGTTTCTGATTTCCAGGCGGAGCAGATCAGTTAACGGTGCCGTCTGACAGAGGAGGAAGGGTTGCCAACTTTCCTGCCCGGCAAGGTTCCTGTGCCTTTTATTTACTGGTTGTTGCATGGCATCCGGCACCGCTTTCGCTTTCGTTGCAGGCCGGCGGGAGGGGGGGGCAGGGAAGGGGAAAGGAAAAAAAGCCCCACCCACGGAGATTTTGCTCCTTGTCCCGCAGTTGTATTAAAGGCACAGGGATAAGGGCGCTGGCAGCTTTGTGAACGGGTCCTGTTTTCCCTCTCGGGGTTGCATTTTCTTCTGTTTCGTTTCTCTTTGGGTCAGGCGGTAGCGCAGGGATAGGGAACCTGCCGACTTCCCGATCGTGGGCGTAGCCAGGATTTATGTTAGGAGGGGCTGAGTGCCCATCTGTCATCATCCTCTCTCTGGCTCTGACTCTAGCAGATTCGGAATGAAATGTCTCATTCAACAGCAGTTGTTTTAAATCGCTTCCTTTTGACTCCCGAGTGCTCAGAAAACCCTGTCAAAATCTTTCTACAATTACTACTTTTAGTGGGGACAGCTGCCCCCCTGCCCATGCTCACGATGTAGCTGAACTAGAACTCCCACCATACCTAACTTTGCAGCAGAACTTATTTCTCCAAAATTTTACGGTAAGCTGTATTTCATTAAAAAAATTATACTGCGTGCGTGCGCGCGCGCACACACACACACATATATATATACACACTGACCAAACTGCGGGAGGCAGTGGAAGACAGGAGTGCCTGGCGTGCTCTGGTCCATGGGGTCACAAAGAGTCGGACACGACTAAACAACAACAACAACACACACACACACACACACACAGATGCAGGTGGCGCTGTGGGTTAAACCACAGAGCCTAGGACTTGCCAATCAGAAGGTCGGTGGTTCGAATCCCCGCGACGGGGTGAGCTCCCGTTGCTCGGTCCCTGCTCCTGCCAACCTAACAGTTCGAAAGCACATCAAAGTGCAAGTAGATAAATAGGTACCGCTCCGGCGGGAAGGTAAACGGCGTTTCCGTGCGCTGCTCTGGTTCGCCAGAAGCGACTTAGTCATGCCGGCCACATGACCCGGAAGCTGTACACCGGCTCCCTCGGCCAATAAAGCAAGATGAGCGCCAAAACCCCAGAGTCGGTCATGACTGGACCTTATGGTCAGGGGTCCCTTTACATTTTCATATATATATATATCCCAACACCGTCGAAGCAGTTTGCAAGAATAAAATCAGCACGCAAAAGTGCAACCATAATTTAAAACATACAAAAACTGAAAACCACAATAGAATAGTGTAAAACAAATTAAAATTCAGAAATTGTCAGAGTGTTGCTTTCTGCTTAGAAATGCATCTCTTTATGTTGCTTCCTTTGTAAGACGTATTTCAAAAAGGTGGGTGTGATGCTGTTGTAGCTGGCCTGTGGGCTTGCTGAACTACAATCCCCATCATTCCTGGTTATTAGCTCTGCTTGCTGGGGCTGATGGGAGCTGAAGTTCAGCTGCCCAAAGGTTTCCCATCCCTGATTTAAAGTACAGTAAATGACATATAGCCAGTTTTACACCAGGAATGTTTAAGTCTTATGGGAGTTTGTTCAGGGCTATTTCTAGAAACTTTGGGAGCTAATTAGCTCCAAGTAAATTTGTTCTAAATTTAATGTTTGTATTGTTCTGCTGTTTCGTTTGCTGCTTTAGGAGGAAGGGCAGGATAGAAAATAAATAATCTTTTTCTACAAATAAAGGTTGATGTTCACACATTGAGATCTAAGGTATTTCTTTGAGCTACATGAAGCTACATGAGGATAGATTATCTAGGGACAATCTCACTATAGGCCATTTTGGACTTTACTTACAGCCCAATTGTCTGCCTAGGTACTTGGAAAAAAGCTGCATTTTATACTCCATTATAAAATAGCCTGTAAACCGGTTTTTCAAGGGGATGGCTCTTTTGGTTAGTTATATTAGAAAAATTGTTCACTGGTGCTGCCATAGTGTAAAACTGTATCTTAGCACCTGTAGTATGTGAATTGCTGTAGTCTGTGTCTTGCATTGAGTCTTTTGTGTAAAAGTGCATGCATTTATATGCATAGGTACTAGAAACAAGAAGCACCCACAATTCTCCCACACACCTGTATATGCTTACCTGGAAGTAAGTTGCATTGAATTCAGTGTAGTTTACTTCTGAGTCAACATTTGTCGGACTGCATTACTGGGGGGGGGGACCCACTTTCCACCTATGGTTATATAACATAGTTTTCAGAGGACTAGCTGGATTGCAGTGCAAGCATCGAAAAGTATTCTAGCACCACAAAGACTAGCACACTTACATAAATTTTCGTAGACCAGAATCTACTACGTGATTAGATATCTGAGGCATTATCCTAAGCTGACAGGTATATCTGGTGGGGTTGGTTGCAAGCAGCGATGTGAGAGAGAAATGAAATGCACACATGATCTACTGTGACAGTTATGCTAAGGCATGTAAAATAGGTTCGGTGACATCCATTATCTTGATTCAAGCCACAGGTGATAGATTTAAACTTCCTTGAATGTTGTAACTCAACCATTTCATGCTAGGCTCCCCCTTTCCAGTTCCTTTGTGCAACGATAGCCATTTGTCAACAGTGTCCTGGGAGGTTTAAATATATTTCCATTAGTTTTTGAAAATTCTGGTTTCAACTGCATGTACATTTGTTTGTTTGTTTACAAAAGTATTTCTGTACCACCACATCATAAAATATCACGATTAAAACAATACAGATAATCATTAAATGACTGGCTGATCAAAATAAATAAAATTAAATGGCTGAAAATTCCTATCGGCGTAATAAAGTATTAGAGAGATTCCTGAAAGTCCACAGTGAGGAAGATGCCTGCAGAATCTGTGCTGGAAGAGTGTTCCACAGCATGTGACCAGCAATACTAAATTTGTGTCCGTTTATTATTATGCCTTCTGTAGAACACAGAAGGGCTTTGCTGGTATAGATCACACTGGAATACCAGCAGGTGAACAAGACCTTGATGTTGTGCCTGACGCATTTAGGTTCTGTGATTAGGGCACAGATTTGACAGCTGGGTTTGTTGAAGGGTCTGAACTCAAATCTTCAGATTTTTACATTATGAGAAAAGCGGAGTGGGGGGAGGGAGTATCTCCTCTTTTCTTCGCTTTGAGTAGGACCTCAGGATGGGGTGACTTTTTCCTGTGCAAACCTGGCTATTATCAGATTATGCTTTGGAGAGCAGGAGACTAATGTGGACTAGTAACAAGCTTTAATTAATATCAGGTTTGGATGTTTCCCATATAGAATTTCTATGATAAAGATGTCATGGAGGATAGGGACCTAGAAACAGATTAAGAGGAAATGACAGGTTCGTCATGAATGGGTGTTGTGGGTGTTGTTTGGTAACTTGAAAACCATACCTCCTTTACCTATATAAAGATTCTGGGACACTGAGGTCCAGTGCCGAGGGCCTTCTGGCAGTTCCCTCACTGTGTGAGGTGAGGTTACAGGGAACCAAGGCAGAGGGCCTTCTCGGTAGTGGCACCTGCCCTGTGGAATACCCTCCCATCAGATGTCAAGGCAATGAGCAACTATCTTACTTTTAAAAGACATCTGAAGGCAGCCATGTTTAGGGAAGTTTTTAATGTGTAATGCTGTACTGTGTTTTTAGTATTCGGTTGGGAGCCGCCCAGAGTGGCTAGGGAAACCCAGCCAGATGGGCAGGGTGTAAATAATAAATTATTATTATTAGTTTGCAGGATGACAGTGAAAATTTTTGCAAACTGCGTATTCTTCGTGAAAGTGAAAAAATTATCCGTTCTGGAAAAGAGCAGACTGAATGGCTGCATTAAAGAAAATGGTGGGCAGATTAAATTTGTTTTAAATCATGAGGTAAGTTTTAAATGGTTAGTTCTTTGTTGTAAACAGAGGTGTAAAGCAATGTAGCACTTTATGCTCTGGCTGCTACTGCATTATTGAAGGGATCTTATTGATCATTATTGATGGGATCTTATATATTTTGCTTATATGTGGCCTTAGGAGGATATGTGCCTCAACGGGGGGGCAGGGAGGGGATGTCTCTATTACTTGGGTTTGGTATGACACCGAGTAATGGCCTTGGTAGGTAGTGTAGTGACTGTTGCCTCAAGATTCTTTTTGTGTGTAGACCCACAATATGTTCCTTAGTATGAACAGTTCATTTTCTAAACTGAACCCCTCATTACATTTTAGTGTACTCACGTAGTCACTGACGACGCTACTGCACTCAGCTCCATTCATCTGAAAGCTGTCAAGAAATATCAGCTGCCCATTGTAGGTGCTGATTTCATATGGAACTCGGTTAAAGAAAGAAGACTTTTACAGGCTGATGACTACGAAGCCCAGCAGTCATGGAGGGAAAATTCTCATGGACTAGAGTCCTCCTCGGAAGACGAGTTGCTGTCGGAACACTCCTCTGAAGGTAGAGCATTTTGAAGTCTATTAAACTAGAATAAGATTGTGTGTAAATTTGTTTCTGTTTGCTCAACTTATTCACATTGCAAAAAAAAAAAAAAAGGGATTTTGGGTTGCATAATTTCTGTACTAGTAAATAGAAAGCTGAAGCTGGGCAGGGGCCATAGCTCAGTGTAAGAGTGCATGTTTTATGTGTAAAAGGTCTCAAGTTCCATCACTGGCATTTCCAGGTAAGGCTAGAATGATTGGAGGGTGGCAACATGAGAACGGGCCTTCTCTGCAGTGGCTCCCTGTCTGTGGAATGCTCTCCCCCTGGAAGTTCACCTGGCACTTTCATTATGCACCTTTAGGTGCCAGACAAAAACATTCCTTTTTAACCAGGCCTTTGGTTGATTCAATTTAAAATGTGTTTTTTTCGGGGGGGGGGCTATTGGGTTGTTGTTTTTATTTTTATTGGGTATTTTGTGGTTTTATATCTTGATTTTATTCCGTGAACCTCCCTGAGACCTCTGGGTATAGGGCGGTATATATATTCAATAGATAATAATAGTAATCCTAGAGAGTCATTCAGTATAAGCAACACTGAGCTTGATGGAATAGGGAAGTACCTTGATGTCAGGCTGTTTTCTTTGTTCCTAAGAGTACCCTGATAACAATTAGGCACCAGGCAGAAACATTCCTCTCCTCCCAGGCCTTTAGCTAATTCTGTAATATATGGCCTGTTGAACTGTGTGTGTGTGTGGATAATGCTTCTCTTTGTTATTACATTATGTATTTTTGTGTTTTTATACAGGCGGTCACCATTTTGCGCAGGGTTCTGTTTCTGGTTCCCATGCGCAGTGGAGTGCGCATATGCCTGCGCATATGCCCTGCCCTCTTCCACCTCCAGTCTGGCCGACCCCTGTTCTGCCCTGCCCCACTTCTGCCCCTGTTCTGCCATCTTCTGGGTCCAAAAGGACCCAAGCATCAGCAGCCACACATCAATTGGACACACACAAAATGGCCACCGCTTGTATTTTAAACCGCCCTGTCATTCCCGGATGAAGGACAGTATAGAAATTTAATAAAATAAATATTTAATATCTCTAGTGACAATAGGCTCAAACACAATACAGATGAAAAGCCAAGGAAATAAGAAAGTGGTCTAATCTTTTCCTTTGTTTGTGAAGTGGCATGGACAGCTGTTGTGTCTCGTTGGAGGGCAAAAGGGAAAGAGTAGGTTTACTGCAAATGGCAGGATCTGTCTACTGTTGCAGGAAGATAATGTGTCTTGGCAGTGGTTGAGGGAAAATGGCAGCCCACATCTGGTTAAACCCTAAAATTAGCTGTGTGTTGGTGCCTGGGAACAAACCAAGCAGTTTGCTGTCTACAGGGTGGTTTGGTGGGCTGAAGCGAAGCAAAATCATCCCTCACCGAAAACTGCCTTTCAAATTCTTACTATCTTTCTTGATTTTTGAGATTTATTAGTTGTGGTTCATATACATGAATGCTAATTCAAAAAGCAGCTGGTGGGCATAAGGGAAATAACTACTGTCTTAATAAATAGTTTACGGAGATGACCACCTAGAAAAGAGGACTCCTGGAAAGAATGAATGGAACAGCAGCAAGGCCCATGACAACAGCAATGTGGGTGAGCTGAGGTAATTTTCTTGACTTCTCTGGCTTCTATTTTTCTCACTTAAAGAAGAACAGACATTCTGTCCCTTTGGAGAGGGATTCGGCGCTCAGGGGTAGAGCAAATGCTTTGGAGGGAGAACATCCAAGGTTCCCTACAGCTTCTCTGTTATTAGAATTGGCAGGATCAAACAGGTTTGTGACTGGCCCAAGATCACCTCCTGAGCTTCATGGCTGAGTTGGGATTTTAATCCTGGTCCTAGTTAAACACTTTAACCATGACACTACTCAGTATTAAGATACTTTTCATATGGAACCCTTGGCATATTTAAATAAGCAAGCAAAATGCAAAAAGAAATCTGCCTTTGTTTGTTAGCACTTTTAAGCAAAATAAAACTCAATCACACTCTTGTTCCTATCCAAGCCTTCACCACTGACTTTTGAAAGAGTTCAGAAGTCTTATATGTTTCCAATAGGTGGCTGACTTTAATATTGTAGGCTTACAGTTTACTCAGAAGTGAATCCTGGTGGGATGGACTGCAGCCTCAGTTGCATTCAGTAATAAAAAGTCTGGCCTTGCTGTTTTTTTTATTGGTTCCAGATCAAATAATGATGAAAATGTTCCTTATTTCCCTGAAGGCTTTGTGGTTGCAAAGTATGATGTCCTTGAACAGGTAAGAACTTCAATATTGCTGATGGTGTTAAATGGCTTTTGTTTGACTTTTTAATTATTTTGTGAAGCGATGCTGCTTTGGTTAGTTTAGTCAGGTTAAAAACTTAATCGAATAAATGAGTCTGATAATGCCTACCAAATAGAAATGCACTTAAACAACTTTTTTCCCACCCCAGGTTACGGCACCTGGCAGGTATGTGGTGGTTGAACTTCAGTGCTCTCAGCAGCACTGTGATTATCCTTTCTGCATAAGCACATGCTACAGTCAGTTGGATGGGAAAGAGGTAAGTTGGGGTGGTTGCTATGATCATGCATTAGTTTGTTTCTTTGATGTTGTGAATGCTCTTGCATGAGAGAGGTTTCGTACGTTGTGTTATGCTCTTGCTTAATTTTCTGGATTTTCTTTCCTCCCTTCTTTTAAGTAATAATAATAATAATAATAATAATAATAATAATATGTTAAATTTATTTTACTCTGAGTGGCTTCCAAAGTATATAAAAGCACTAATAAAACATTGCACATTAAAAAGCTTCCCTGTACAGGGCTGTCTTCAGATGACTTCTAAAGGTTATATAGTTACTCATCTCCTTGACAACTGATGGGAGGGTGTTCCCCAGGGTGGGTGCTACTACTGAGAAGACCCCCTCTGAACTGATTCACTTCTCACAGTGAGAGAACTGCTAGAAGGGAACTGCCAGATCTCTGTGTCCTGGTTGAATGATGAGGATGGAGGCGCTCCTTCAGGTATATAGGGCCGAGGTCATTCAGTGCCAACACTTTGAATTGTGCTAGGAAACGTGACCTTATACCAAGTCAAATCATTGGCCTGTCCAACACTGTATTGTCCACACTGACTGGCAATGGGTCTCCAGGATTTCACACGAGGGACCTTTCCAGTCACGAGCATAAGCCTGTCTAGCAGCCGATAGGGCCACCTTTTCTACCCTGTGACCTAAGAACTGTCGCAGAACAATTCCCAGGGTTCGCTGCTTGCAATCACATTTGGAGCAGGTTTGTGTGTCTTCTCAAACCCACAGCTGGATGCCTCACAGCACAAGGAAAACTAGAATTTAAGTTTGTCTCAATGCCAGGATAATTTATGAGAAATGTCTCTCTTTTTGTGATTCTCTTCCCCCCTCCCCTTAAAAAATAATAATACTTGAATTGGGACACTCTTTTGTTCTCAGTTCAAGAAACGGTTTATACCAGCAAGGACTTCTGAAGAGGCTAGAATAGTCTATGAGCTTTGTACTGCAAATCTGAAAAATGAGAATTACCAGTTCAAAGAAGATTTTCCCCATGAAGTGGAATATCTAGCTTCAGAAAAGCTGCAAGAGGTTAGTGTAATTTTTTTAAGGATTCAGTTTTCTGTGTTTTTAGCAGTTCTGTAAGTCGCCTTGAGTCCCATCATGGAAAAAGGCAGAGTATAAATAAATATATAAGAAGAAGAAGAAGAACAACAACAACACAAAGTCAGATTCTGATTTGCTTCCCCCCTGATGTGGCAAAATCACATGAGTGGAAGGAGCCAAATAGGCCCTTAAGAGCAGCATGCATCAGTATGGCAATCATTCATTTTAAACCAAAAGTTATTGATAGTTAAGGTTTAATGTGGCATATGAACTGGGACGTTAATTCATAGAATCATAGGCTTGGCTGCTTCTGTTCCTATTTTTAAAAATATTAATGCCGTTCTGAAGAGAAATGTCAGTTATTGAAATTCACGACATGTTCTCTGTTAGCTCTGTTTTTAAACCGCTATTTACCATTGAGCACTTCTGGGTGGCCTGATCGCATTGGTATGTTTGCAGGTGCTTATAGCAGAAGCCACAAATTCCAGCTCTTTGCCTGAAACAGTCAGCAAGTTTGTGGAACTGATCTGGATTGAAGCACTTGGACACCTGGCTCCGCTGCTGGCTAAACCAGTAACCGAACTCAGCCTCAACGATGTAAGGCAATCCCACTTGCAGACATTGGCTCACTCAGAGCGTTTAATTCCCTTGAATGTCAACAGAAATACAATGCCAAGCAAATGCGCTTTCTGTTTCTGGATTGTGACAGCCAGCGTTGCTGTGATAGGTTTGTCATTAAACGTGTTAATGGTTTATTTCTATGAAGGCAAGGGACGCACCTCTCTCTCTTTCCTTTCTGTTCTGGCCACAGCCTCCGTAAGTGCATGTCCTGCTACGTGGAAGTCATTCTCTTGTAGTGGAATCCCTTGTAGCTGTGCCCCCCCCCCACAATCCTGCAAACTGTAGTGTAACCCCCACCAAGCTACAGTTCTCAGTACCCTTAATAAACTACAATTCCCAGGATTCTTTGAGGCAGGCAGGAATGTGTTTTAAATATATGGGATGTATATGCACCCTTAGCCCTTCTTGTCTGTCTCTCTTCACATTTGTCTGAGTCTTTAAAAAAAAGAAGGCAAGAAAAAAAATAACACATTTTTATACCACATTTTCTTAAAAGGTGAGCAGAGCAGAAGGTATTTTGCTCCGAGCAAGGAAGGCACTGGATTTATTGGAATCGCCGAAAGAGAAAATGGAGATAATGTCAGAGTTTTATAAAATCATACCTCACAAAATTATGGATTATGACGTAACCAGAAAGTTGTTATCTACCAAGCACAGTCTCTGTCAGGTAACGTTGTTGAATCTGACCTTTCCTTTCAGTGTATCCTATGTATAACCAGAGTTTGAGTGTGTTGTGCTCAGGTGGGGAACCTGTAGCCCTCCAGATGTTTGTTTAATTGCATTATTTCAAAAATGTATGTACTGCTTAATTACAGTTGTCTCTAAGAGATGCACGAACGACTCAGCAAAATTAAAAATGTGGTAAAACTATAAGATTCATTTTTAAAGCCTGATGGAATAAATTTCACCCCTCAAATGAGCAGAAAATAAGATTCTATCCTCTTTGAACAATAGAGAGTTCTTATGCTCCAGAATTCCCTGTGGACTTTGGTCCAGAACACAGATGTGAAAGTATTTGCCTAGAGGGAAAACATTTATGTCATCATAATGGTGTTTGTCTGGTGCTCCTTTGAGCATTTCTTGGAGGGTCCTGTCGGCTTGTAATAATAATATTTTTTTTTACACCCTGCCCATCTGACTGGATTTCCCCAGCCACTCTGGGCAGCTTACAGCATATATGAAAACGTGTGTACATCTCACAGAAACAGTTCTGGCACTATATTTGGTGCCCAAGCATCATTTGGGGGAAGCCTAGTACAAATTTGCAGCAAAAAAACCTTGCCACATGAGTTCCATGATCCCATCCCTTATATTCAATCTTATGAGTCACAAAATGAAAATTTCTATTTTAATTATGAAATTTCCATTTCTGAAATTTGCTCCGTGTTGTCACTGGGGATTTTCTCAGTTGAAGAAGAGTCCTATGAAGCTTGCTGACTATTTTGTGGGTGTTTGGTTGTTCAGTTGATGATTTGATTTTTTCCACCCCCAAATGCAGAAGTGGACAAGTTTGACAGGTGGCCTCTTTTGCCCACAGGGATCTTCTGAAGCCCCTTTCAAAGTGTTGTCTTGCTCAGCACTTTGGGGGAGGGCTTTGCAGGTATTGCTGATTGGTGGTGTCTGCAAGTCGCCTCCAAGTTTTGACTTGAGTTCATTAGCCCTGAGGGTCAGAGGCGCCCAATCCCTGGTCTTAACAGATTTAAAAAATATTATTTGTTGCATATATTTTCTCTGTGGTAATAAGCTGCTCTCAGGCCTACAGACAATGAGTAGAATGTAAATTATAATAAACAAATAAAATAATAAGCATACAAATAAAAGCTTTGTTTTGGAAATACAAACACTGAATGTTGCTATATATTTTTTTGTATAGCTAATCAGGGACATGCTGAACGTTCATGAAACAAACATGTCAATTCCTAACCCACCGTCCCTTTCCAAGTACCGAGCTCTGAGATGCAGGATATGTCCTGTCTTTGGAGAAGAGTTTCAGGATATTGAAGAAAAGATGGACCAATATACTGGGTGAGTTTCAGTTGCGATGTGTAATTTCTGGGTTGTACTACCCAGATTCAGTAATCATTTTTTAATGAAAACAAAAAAATTCCTTCCAGTAGCACTTTTTTTTTTTTTTTGGACTATGGCAGACCAACACGGCTACCTATCTGTAACATTTTTTAATGCCGTAATATGATTTTGAAGGACCTCAAAGAATCTTTTCTTAAACACTGACATAGGTGGAAGATTCAAAACATTTATAAAACCCATGTTAATAGGAAAACACATTTACTCTAAGAGCCTGGTTTCAAAGGCCTCTGCGTTTAACTTCAGAGAAAAGGTCTGTTCACACTAAACTTCACTAAATTTGTATAGAACTCTAAGACATGGTTTACAACAAACCGTGAGTCATCTCACAGACATGCAAACAAGCGATGGCTAGTATCTTATGCCTTGGTTGCGTGACAAATGTCTTGGTGCCCCCCTAAAACATAGTTAATCAGCCAAACCATAGTTAAAACAAACCATCATTCATTAAGCCATCAACAAACTGGATTAGAGCATTCAAACAAATCAAGCTTTGACTAATAAACCGTGGATTACTGTTTGTGTGAACCAGACCACCGTGAAGATCATTGGACTACTGGAAACAAATACAGACAGACAGAAACACACAAACATTCTGGGTGAGAACTATTGCTCTACGAAATCTTGTTAGACATGAAATATGTAACGTGTTCCTCTAAGGAGAACCTCGGGCATATTCAATGCATGTGGCAAAATGTTCAATCTCATTTAGTGACTCTGTGGCCAGAATAAATCTGGGGGCATAAACTGGGGGGAAAATGCATTTTGTGAACATTCTATTCGTTTTAAATTTTCTTGCAGTGAACATCCCGTAGAAGTTTTGGAGGTCTATAGAGTAGGCAGAATGACGGAAGTAGCAGCTTTCGAGAGCCATCTTGGCAATGTCCAGACTTTATATCACGCTTCGTCTGTTCACAACTTCGTTGGAATCCTCTCCCGGTAACGACTTGTGTCATGGTCTGTCTCAGCTTTGCAGATGGTTTTCTGCTGCGCATGAGAGGCAAGAAGGCAACAGAGCCATTTGGCCAAAGGCTCAGTTATCTTTCAGTGACAATGGCCGCATTTGGACAGTCCAGTTCTACCTTAACGTCAGGATATGCACAAACCGCATGCACCCACACGCACACCCTTGTTACTGCTTCCTCTTCTGTCTGTGCAGGCCGTGAAGCAAACCCAAAAGCTTCCCATTAATGTCCAAAGAGGGAACTGTGGTTTACTGACACCCCTGTGCAGGCAATTGGTGTCTGCAAGATGTAAGTGGGGAAGTTTGGGTGGAGTGGGGCAGCCCATCTCTCAACAGTCCTCATCCATTGATGGTGAAGAATGAGGGAGATAACTAGACTCCACACAACCTGGGCTCCTTTGTGTCTGTTTATCCCTTCCCCCTTCCCTTTCCCAATATTGATACACATATTATTAGTGTAGAAAAACTGTGTGTCAGCATGTCAAGGTGCTTTACCTCAGAGGTGGGGAACCTGAGGCCTAGGGGCTGGGTGCAGCTTTCCAGTTCTCTGTCTCCCTAGCCCTTAGAACTTTCTCCAGGCCGCATCCCTCCTCACTGAGCCAAACTCCTCACCATCCCATCTCTGCACCTTCCTGCTTTTGCCTTTCTTGCCTGGTCAGAGGATGTAGAGATTTGGGTATGTGCTTAGAAACTTCCCGGCTTTTGCATGGCTCGAATACATACAAGAGCTCCATCGTCTTTTGCCTCTGGCCTTCCTGCCACTGCCTTGCGGCCTATGAGGGAATGCGTCCCTCAAGCGAAAAAGAAAGATTCTCCACCTTTACTGTGTAAATCTGCTTTTCTAGGGGACTGCTCTTGCCAAAGATTGTCGTTGAAGAGCATGGCGTGGAAAGAACGGATTGTGGGCACTTGGGCAGCGGCATCTATTTCAGCGACTCCGTAAGGTCTGCAGTTCTCTGGCAGTAATAACAGTTGAGATCTTATCATTCCTTGCCTGATGGGGAGTGCTGTGTGTGTTGCTCCTATTGTTGTTGTTATTACTATTAATTAATTAAATTTGAATACCGCCCTTCACCCGAGGATCACAGGGCAGTTCACAACATAAAAATACAAAATGAGAACACAGAATACATAACAAAACAAGCACAAACCAATAACAAACACATTTAAAAGGGCATAGAATATTAATCAGCCAATGGCCCTTGTTGAAGAGAAACATTTTCATTTCTCCTAAAGATATGTAATGAAGGCGCCAGGTGAATTTCCCTGAGGAGACCATTCCACAAATGGGGAGCCACCCCAGAAAAGGCCTGTCCTCATGATCCCTCTGGACCTCTTGCTTCTGAGTAAACTTAAGTGCCGCTTCGCATGCTTTTCCCCACAGAGATATCCCTTTTGAGAACCAGAGTGGAGTATTGGACCTTGGCTGCATACATAACAAACATTGAAAGCACATGATTTCCCCTAGAGATTCCTGGGAACTGTAGTTTGCTAAGGGTGCTGGGAATAAACATAGGCTACATACACATCATACACTTAAAGTCCATTTAAAGCATGCGTCTTCCACAAAGAATCCTGGGGACTGTAGTTCCTCAAAAGTGCCCGGAATTCTAGCTCTGTGAGGGGTAAACTATGGTTCCCAGGATTCTTTGGTGAAAGTTATGTGCTTTAAATGGTTGTTATATATACAGCTTTGGGCTGATGTGGCAAGAGCCGCAAACCCCACATGCCTTTTTCTGTTCGTTAAACTCAAGCTATGGCAAGTACTTAAAATATTTGTCCGAGCATAACCAACCAGCTTCTTCTTCTTTGTTTAACAGCGCATGCATCAACTACTCTTGGCCAAACAGAACAGATGGAACCCGGTTACTGCTAATTTGCGATGTAGCCCTTGGAAAGTGTTTTGAAACAGGACACATGGACAGTTCGTTAACCGCAGCACCGCCAGGCTATGACAGCGTGCATGGACTTGCCAGGAAAAAGGGGAAACTGAGAAAGGGAAGAGACTTCAAGGTGCCGGTTCGAGCTATGTTGTGGTGTTGCCCTCTGTTGTCTTTTAAAGGCATAATATGCCTTGATAAGTTATGCCTCTGAAAATGTTTATTGTTTATTGATTTAGAGCACTTGTACTCTGCTCTTCATGGGATGCGGGTGGTGCTGTGGGTTAAACCACAGAGCCTAGGACTTGCTGATCAGAAGGTCGGCGGTTCGAATCCCTGCGACGGGGTGAGCTCCCATTGCTTGATCCCTGCTCCTGCCCACCTAGCAGTTCAAAAGCATGTCAAAGTGCAAGTAGATAAATAGGTACCGCTCCGGCGGGAAGGTAAATGGCGTTTCCGTGCGCTGCTCTGGTTCACCAGAAGCGGCTTAGTCATGCTGGCCACATGACCCGGAAGCTGTACGCCAGCTCCCTCAGCCAATAAAGCAAGATGAGCGCTGCAACCCCAGAGTCGGTCACGACTGAACCTAATGGTCAGGGGTCCCTTTACCTTTTTACCCTGCTCTTCAGCCAAAAAGGCTCCCTGAGCAGCTTACGTACAATCAAAACGAGACAGTGTCTACCAACTATCTAAAAGAAAAAGAAAAAAAGCATGACACAAAAGGGAAGAGGGACTGGGAGGGAAGAGGAAAATCAAAATCACAACTAAGGCACACCAGTTTCTAAACATCCCTGACATAAACCCTCCAGCCCAAGGGGTTGTATTCGATGTAATCCCTACTCAGAGTAGACCCACTGAAATAAATAGACACAACCATCTGAGAGCCATTAATTTTAATGGGTGTATTTTGAGTAGAATGCAGTTGGATACAACCCTAGGCCTCAGCTCTGTGTCTTGTACATACCTCTCCATGATCCATCTTACCATCTAAGTCTGTTGCCTTTTTTGTATGTTCCTCAGTGACTTGTAAGTGGCTGCTGTGGAACTTTCTCTAGCTAAATTGACCTTTTGCCGCTGCCTGCTTTCAAAAGCTTCCTAAGTGAGGAGGCAACGAATCGGCTTCGCTCACTAATGCATCAGTTGCTCTTGTAAAGCTCTTAACGTTTACTTCTTGTTTTCTTTTGTTTTCATAAGGATGACGAATTTGTGGTGTACAGAGCTAGTCAGGTCAAAATAAAATATGTGGTTAAGTTTTCCCTCGCCGGTGACAAAGTGAAGGAGTTCCATCCTGAGATTCAGGATGTGCCGCCTTCCGTAGAGCATCAGCCACAGCCCGAAGGTGAGAAATTCTTACCTAAAATTGTCTGTTTCTTTGGTGTATTCTGTAATTGGAGTTTGAAACTGAAGCGTAACCCATTTCCTTGGTGTGCAGCTATGAAGATTATGCCAAGGAAAACCCATGAAAGAATGAGGAGGCCAAGGTGACTCCTGTTCCCTTCATAAGATCACATCTTTTATTCCCATACAGATCCTACCTATGCTCTACTTTTCTTTTCTCTGTTCCATATTTCAAAAAGTGAAAATCTGGACACAAAAGTTGTGCCCCAGTTTTTGTGTAAACACCCAAGCCATAGGATTGCTTATCCCATGGGCTTTGGTCTGATCTAGCAGGAATTGCTTTTATTCTCTTTCTCTGTTTTTATTACATGAATACAGATGCATATGAACATATTTAGTTTCTCTGTTACTTCTTTCCTTGCTTTTAGGTAGCAGAACTAACATTTGCCATCAAGGCCAGGCAAGATAGTTGCTTACAGGGAGTTTTTTGTTTTCCTTTTTTTTACACTTTTAATGTTGAAAATTACTTTGAACCTTTACAATAAAGTGGGTTTGCCTTCAATAAATCATCTCTCTCCCCCACCCCACCCTGCCTCTTAATATTTCTTTAGATTACCAAATGCCAAGTAAAAATCTGCTAAATAATGTGACTGCTGGTCTTCTGGACAGATCTGGAAACCCAATTCCTCTCAAAGGTCTTCATATCAAGGGACGAATAGTAGACTTCGTAGCAGAGGTAATGCCAAGGCATTCGTAGTTCTTTTCTAGGGATGTTAAATATTTCCTTGTGGGTTTTTATTTTATACTTATTTATTTATTTATTTATTTATTTATTTATTTATTTATTTATTTTTACAAGGTGTAAAACAAATCTGTAGACAAATCCTAGCCCTGATTAACATTGCTTTTAAATATTCAGTGAGTTAAGTGTGTTATATCAGCAGACTCTCAATTTTTAAATTAAAACTTTGATTTTTTTCAGGGGACAGTAGGGGCAACACAGATACATTTATTTGTTTTGTTGTTTATGTATCTCTTCCTACACACCATTCCTAAGGTGCTAAAGCAACTAAAAATCTGGTGGGAATCAATAAGTAGTGGGCCTTCTGGATGGCAAAGAAATAATGAAACCCCCAATACTGACTAGGATGCTGCCATTAAGGCTGTGTACACACTATACCTTTAAAGCACATTTGAAGCACGTTCTTTCCCTCAAAGAATTCTGGGTACTGTAGTTCATTAAGGGTTGCTGGGAACTGTAACTCTGTGAGGGGTGAACTACAGTGCCCAGAATTCTTTGAGGGAAAATAATGTATCTTGAATGTGCTTTAAAGATATAGCACATTTAAACGGTGTTTCCGTGCACTCTGGCTTCCAACACAGAGTTCCATTGCACCAGAGTTCCATTCCATTTAGTCATGTTGGCCAAATGACCCAGAAAGCTGTCTGTGGACAAATGCAGGCTCCCTTGGCCTGAATAGTGAGATGAGTACCGTACCCCATAGTCAAATTTGACTGGACTTAACCGTCCAGGGGTCCTTTACCTTTTTACTTTTTACATCAGCAAAGGAAGCAGACAACATTTTGAGTTTGGAGAAAGGCTGAGAAAGACAGCAGAACCACGTATGAACTCTTTGGGTATTAAATATTTCCCAGTGGACTTTGATTGCTGTTGGAGTGTTTTAAGTGTTGCCTCTATGTATACTCAACTTGTATATTTGTAAATAAATACAAATACTGTATTGCAAAACATCAATAATCTCCCAATGACCTCCTCCTAAAGGGAACCAAACCTGGGTATGTGCTGCCTACCTGGAACTCAGAGAAGTGGAAAGTGTCACTCACTTCTCATACCTGGGCAGTTATCTTTCCACAAGGGCTGACATTGATGCTGAAATCCAGCATCGCCTGAGCTCTGTGAGTGCAGCTTTCTCCCGATTGAAGTGCAGTGTTTGAGGACCATGATATTTGCAGGGAAACCAAAATGCTTGTTTACAAAGCTATTGTACTACCAACCTTACTGTATGCTTGTGAAACGTGGACCACTTATAAACACCATCTACAACTCCTTGAAAGATTCCATCAATGGTGTCTCCAAAAAAATTAACATATCACTTGGGAAGACAGGTGAACTAATGCCAGTGTACTGGAAGAAGCAAAGATCACCAGTGTCATAGCAATGTTTCTTCAACATCAACTTCGTTTGACTGGTCATATTGTTTGGATGCCTGATTATCATCCTCCAAAGTAACTATTCTGAACTTAAAAATGGAAAGTGTAATGCTGGTGGTCAACAAAAGAGGTTTAAAGATTCTCTCAAGGCAAATCTTTAAAAATGTAACATAAACACCAACAATTGGGAAACACTGGTCTGTGAGCACTCTAGTTGGAGAACAGCCTTTACCAAAGGTGTCATGGACTTTGAAGATACTTGAACTCGGGACGAAAGGGAGAAACGTGCTAAGAGGAAGGCACGTTTGGCAAATCCTCACCATGATCAACTCCCACCCGGAAACCTATGTCCCCACTGTGGAAGGACATGTGGATCCAGAATTGGCCTCCATAGTTACTTAGGGACTCACTGTTAAGACCGTGTTCATGGAAGAGAATCTTACTTGGCTACGAGTGATCGCCGAAGAAGCAGCAGCACATGAAACCTTTCCCAGAGGGTGTTATTTAAAATGTTAATCTTGGGAAGGAAAGTGCTTCCATAAAAAATGTTTTTATTGGGATCCATGGCCTGGTGTTTACCTCATATCTATCTGCAATACATGCATGTATTTCTTTCAGGTTGTGGTGTTCCAGGTCTATGAAAATCAATCAGACAGCCCCATTGAAGCAAAATATGTATTTCCTTTGGACGACACAGCCGCTGTATGTGGATTTGAGGCTTTCATTAAAGGGAAACATATCATAGGAAAGGTAATATGATTCAGGGACGGGAGGAGGAGACAAGATATACGGCGGTGGGACTGCAGTAAATGTGACTTTTTGAAATAACCTATTTTTTAAAAAATCAGGATGATTTATTATATAATTTCAACAGGTTAAGGAAAAGGAGAAGGCACACAGAGAATACAGAGAAGCCATCAGTCAAGGACATGGAGCTTACTTGATGGATCAAGATGCACCGGTAGGTGTAGTAACAAAAACTACTTATGCCTTTATAAGAGATCAGCATACAGTACACTGGTCTTTGTTTGTTTTACTGATGAAACCAAGCAAGGTACTCTGGCTTGAAAGCTGTACCCTGCATATGAAAAATGTTCTGAACGCATATATACAGATAAGGCTCTACAACCCCAGAACCAAATGTATACTATAGCAAGTATCTCGCACATACACACCTATCAATTAGCAGGTGAAGGTGGAGGAGACTGGCACCGTAACAAACTCTGGTTTTTTGCTCCCCTTAGGGCTTGGTTTATTATTTGATCCTGACTTGATTTTAGGATGTAACTTAATTATTGTTTGATTTTATACCAATGTTATATATTTGATGTTAGCCTCCCTGAGCCCGGTTTTGGCTGGGGAGGATGGGATACAAATAAAAGTTTATTATTATTTATTATTAGCCACGCCTCCTCTTGCACCCCTGCTTTCCCCCAGGGAAAGCTTATTATTCTTATTATTGTTGATATTATTAAAAATTTGTATACCGCCCTTCAGTCATAGATAGCAGGACAGCTCATGACATAAGAATACAATACAGTGGCACCTCGGGTTACAGACGCTTCAGGTTACAGACGCTTCAGGTTAGACTCCACTAACCCAGAAATAGTACCTCGGGTTAAGAACTTTACCTCAGGATGAGAACAGAAATCACGTGGCGGCAGCGGGAGGCTCCATTAGGTAAAGTGGTGCTTCAGGTTAAGAACAGTTTCAGGTTAAGAATGAACCTCCGGAACAAATTAAGTACTTAACCCGAGGTACCACTGTATGTATAAAAAAATACAAAAGACATCATAACAATGAGAACAAAAACGGACCAATGATCTCCCCTCTCGCAACGCATGTGAAAGGGGATTGGATCTCAATCAGCCAAAGGCCTAGTTGAAGAGGAAACAGCTATTTGGGTTTTCTCCAGATTGGAAAAGGAGCAGAGCGAGGGGGAAACCACTCAATCCCATGCTTTCTAGACATGGAACAAGCAGAAGTGTGGTCGAGCCCTTCTAGCCAGCAATTATTTGTGGTTATTGCCAACCACACTACCTTTCCCTCTTCCATGTGACATGAGGGAGACTCTCTCTCCCCAGTTGCTGGGGTCCCAGGAACACCTCCAGGGCCACAGACTAGTCGCCTCTGGGACGTTTTCAGTATGCTATAAAAGAAAGCAGGCCATGTCATTGTTTTGTAAATGGCAATTTGCTTCTGTGGACATTTCAAATATCCTTTTGTAGGATATCTTCACCGTTTCTGTGGGAAACCTGCCTCCTTCAACCAAAGTCCTCATTAAAATCACCTACATCACGGAGCTCAGTTACGAGAACGAATGCCTTGCCTTCCACTTGCCGGCTGCTGTGGCGCCTTGGCAACAAGACAAAGCGCTGAATGAGAACACACAGGTGAGGGCCTTCTTTCAGTCAGAAGGAAGGAAATCCCGCATTATAATGGTGCAAACACAATTGTTGCCGTTCTCCACAACTTCATATTTAATTGCACCCAGTGCTGTTTTTTTGGAAAGAGAGGTGCTGGAACTTGCCATGAATGCAATGGCGTAGCGTGGGGGGTGCAGGGGGGGCCGGCCGCACCGGGCGCAACATCTGGGGGTTAGGGTTAGGGGGCGCAAATCCACGGGTTAGGGGGCACAAATTACTTGCCTTGCCCCGGGTGCTGACAACCCACGCTACGCCACTGCATGAATGCCACCCTTATATAATGGCTATGGCACCCACCTAATGGTGGGTTTCAGCAGGAAAAAGCCCTGATTGCACCCATACAGACCTCATTGTTTTTGTTTGTTAACTAGGACTCAGTAAGGAAAGTTTCCATTAGGCAAGTTGGAACAAAACCAGGGTAAGTAGGCTAAATACGATATTGGGGCCCCGCTAATTGATTTATTGGTCCTCAATTAGCTATTTATGGCAGCCCGGTCCGGCGCGCTTCCCTCAGCTGCGCCACTCAGCTCCGTCGTCCGGTAGCTCCAGTCACACCTTAGCAGAGATAAACACAGCGGTGATAAACTGTCACGTCCTTTTGCTGACTTCCAGACAAACACACACAGAGTCCAGGTTTGTCCTTTTCAGCTCTTTATTCCGACATTCCCCCAGGAATCTCCTGGGCTCCTTTCAGCCATTACCGGCTACGTCTTTCTCCCTCAACGACCAGAGGGGAACAGAACAGAAACCCCTCCCAGGCTCCTCCCAGCTTCCACAGCTGACGTCAGAATGTTGAGGCATCCTGGGAACTTCTTAACCAGTTAAGTTCCAAACTCAACACCCCCTCTTGCTGAAACCATTCTGACAAGACCTTCTGAGTTCAACACCTTCCCCTTTGCCTTGTGCCACTTCCCGGCATCTTTCCCAGGCACCTGTTGAACCCCTTCAGCATTCCCAGAATCACACTGTGCGACACTTTTCCACGCACCTGTGACCTGATACCCTACTGACCCATTAGGGCCAGCAGTTGTGTCTTCTCCGTCAGACTCTTCCCCTCTGACTTGACACCCCTTCCGTGAGCTTTCTCCATTACCGGAGATGAAGCCTCACACCTGGACACTCCTTTCACAACCCTTGGAGATGCCCAAACCTGCCCTGAACCCTGACCCTGGACTTGGTCCCCATCACCGGGTTTTGAACCCTGATTCTGGACCTGATCCCCGTCACCGGGCTCAGCAACAACCTCCCTTCTCCCTTGAGAAGACTTTGCACCCCGTCACCTAGTGACGTATTTCCTTTTCCTTGAAAAATTCCTCCAGAGCAGACCCAGTAAACTGTGACCCTCGGTCGCTCTTGAACCCTTGCACCTTGGTGGAGAACCTTAGTTCCACCTCCGCAACCCAATCCTGGATCAGTTGCGCCGCCTCTCCCTGTGGTTTGAGAGAGAGACACCAGCCAACCTGGCTGTGGTCATCTGTCAGCGATGGCACATACCTGGCCCCACCCAGACTCTCACACCTCATGGGTCCTGACAGATCTGTGTGAACAAGCTCAAAAGCTTCCTTGGCTACCCTCCCAAACCCGGGAAAACCAAGTACCTTTGCACCTTTGCATGCCCTGCACCCTTGGGACCTCCCACATTTCCGGAGTTTGTACCCTTTTGTGCACCTGTGCAACTTTTGCACATCTTTGGGAACCTTAGCACACTGCACCTGTGCTTTTTCCAGCATTCCCACCACCCTCCAGAGGTGACTCCAGAACAAAGAAATTATTCTTGCTCTTCGCCATGTTGACCAGTTGTCGCCCCCCTCTGAAAATGGAACAGGTGTCATTTTCAAAGCACATTTTGGAACCTCTGCTTCGTTAGAGCAGATACAGATAACCGACAACTATTCAGTCCCGGCACAACGTAGATCTCTAGCTCCTCCTGTAAAGGAGAGAAAAAACACGTTAGCCATACCACAGACTGCTCCGTCTGCGAATAAAACAATTGTTCCTGTTGAAAACAGCCCTGCAGTCCCGCAGTTTGCCTATCAGGTGCTGCCTGATAGCAGAAACCAAAACACCCAGCGTGTCACCGTGTCCTGGCTGGTGTTGTTCTTCACAGTTGCCATAGAAGCAGTGATAAGAAACAACCCTCCCCAGTGTCTGAGACACGTCTTTCCCTTGCGTTCCCACGCTGGCGTCCTTGGGACCTTCCTGCCCAGCTGTCTCCGCTCTCCATGGGCAGCAGCGTCGCAAGCGTCCCGCATTACATGTGTAGCAATGACGAACTCCAGTGGAAAAACACTGCTCCGGGGCTCCTCCCAGCCGGCCTCCTTCTCCTTCTTCCGGAAAAGCACTCCTTGCCAGCTCCGCCCCCTCTGAACCTCCACTTGATTCCAGCACGTACAGTGGAAAACTTTAAACGTGCCTTTGGAAACCTTCCGCCCCCCCGACCTGCTCAGCAGCACTCCTTGTGGCTAAAGCATCAGGGACAGGGGCTCCAGCCATCTCTAGGCTTTTGTATTCCTTCTCCAGGGCTCTGGCCTCCTGCTGAAGCTTCACAGCAAACACAGCACGTTTCCAAGTGCCAATAGTCCCTTTGCCCCCCTCTGGGGCCCACAGCCCTTCCCAGCTGTGCACCGGCTCTCACGAAGGTGATCAGCGCCATCTTGCTTTCTGTTCTGAAGCAGCCATCTCCCAGCCCTTGCTTCCGCCTCCAGCCTCATAAACACCCTGGAGCGCTGAACGGCCACTGGCTTCCTGGCACCCAGAACAGTAGACTTCAGATCAGCAGCCAGGTTGCCCAACTTCTTAAAGTGAGCCTCCCACAGTCCTCCAAGACCTGGCAGCCTGCCATTCTCTTCCGTTCTCCCAAGGGGCCCCAAGCTTACTTACAAACAATTTCAGCTTCTCTGGCTCTCCCTTCTCCGTGGAGAAACGATTCCCTGCTGTTCTCAGCTCCTTGGCTCCACAGCAGACCTCTGCGTTTTTCAGCCAGCTGCTTTCAAACTCCGCAGCTGCTCCTTTGCCTCTTAACACCAGGCAAAAAGTCCTTCCGCCTCCTGCCGGCCCCCTGCTCGACACCGCAGATCAAAGCTCCCGGCAGTATCTTCCGTGACAGTTTTACAAGCGATGATTTATGGATCCATAACCTGTGGTGAAATACGATATTGGGGCCCCGCTAATTGATTTATTGGTCCTCAATTAGCTATTTATGGCAGCCCGGTCCGGCGCGCTTCCCTCAGCTGCGCCACTCAGCTCCGTCGTCCGGTAGCTCCAGTCACACCTTAGCAGAGATAAACACAGCGGTGATAAACTGTCACGTCCTTTTGCTGACTTCCAGACAAACACACACAGAGTCCAGGTTTGTCCTTTTCAGCTCTTTATTCCGACATTCCCCCAGGAATCTCCTGGGCTCCTTTCAGCCATTACCGGCTACGTCTTTCTCCCTCAACGACCAGAGGGGAACAGAACAGAAACCCCTCCCAGGCTCCTCCCAGCTTCCACAGCTGACGTCAGAATGTTGAGGCATCCTGGGAACTTCTTAACCAGTTAAGTTCCAAACTCAACACCCCTCTTGCTGAAACCATTCTGACAAGACCTTCTGAGTTCAACACCTTCCCCTTTGCCTTGTGCCACTTCCCGGCATCTTTCCCAGGCACCTGTTGAACCCCTTCAGCATTCCCAGAATCACACTGTGCGACACTTTTCCACGCACCTGTGACCTGATACCCTACTGACCCATTAGGGCCAGCAGTTGTGTCTTCTCCGTCAGACTCTTCCCCCTCTGACTTGACACCCCTTCCGTGAGCTTTCAGCCATTACCGGCTACGTCTTTCTCCCTCAACGACCAGAGGGGAACAGAACAGAAACCCCTCCCAGGCTCCTCCCAGCTTCCACAGCTGACGTCAGAATGTTGAGGCATCCTGGGAACTTCTTAACCAGTTAAGTTCCAAACTCAACAGATGTGTCTGTATTTTAAATAAATGCATGGTTTTTTTCTTTAAAAAAACAATATTGCAGATTGAAGCATTTGTTTTTCCTCACTTGCATTTATTCATCACTTTCTGACAGTAAGAGCTATTCAACAGTGGGACGGCTTCCCTCGGGAGGCTGGGGGCACTCCTTCCTTGAAAGTTTTAAAGCAGAGGTCGGGTGGCCATCTGTTGCGGATGCTCTAGTTGAGATTTGTGCATTGCAGGGGGTTGGACTAGATGACCCTTGAGGTCCTTTCCAACTCTACAATTCTATGGTTTTTATATATGTTCTGTGCTTTCTAAGCACAGAACATATATATATGTTCTGTGCTTTCTAAGCAATTTCATCAATTTATCTTTAAATTAAGGTTACCAGATTTTTTCCAAAGAATGTGGGGACACTTTTTTTTTTGAAAAGAGAAAAAAAGTTATTATTTTTTTAAAAAAAATAAAAATAAAGCAAGAAGTAATACCTTCTCTTCTGTGGTTTCCTCTGTCACACGGCCTTCCTCTGGGCCCCGGCCTGCTCTCTTGGAGCGCTAGCTGCCGTGGAGTAGGCTCAGGTTGGGTCTGGGCTTGGCCACGTGTTCTTGCCCTCCCAGTGCTCTCCTGCCTCTCCTCCTTAGCGGCGGCAGCAGCAGCGGCGGCGCGGCAAGGTCAGGGCTCCCCTCTTTTTTCTCCTTCCTTTTTCTCTCTCTTCCTTCTTCTCCTCTCCTCCTTCTCTCTGCATCGGCTCCGGGGTTTTCCTTGCCCTGGAGCACCACTGGGCAGTCGGCCAAGTGACCGGGCACTCTCACTCCCGGCTCGATTTGGGTCACAAGGGGGGGTCAGTGGTTCCCCCAGTTGACATTCCGGGTGTCCCTGGTTCCCCCTTGGCGGCGGCCGCAGCAGCAGTGGCAGTCTCAGCAGCCCGGAGCCAGCCTGGTAGCGCAGTTGGCTCTGGCTGGCTTCAGGAGCTGCTTGCTGCTGTGGCACCCGCCATTTTGCCTCGCCGGAAGTCCCCATATGATGTGTCTTGTGCCGTTGAACCAATCACGCAACATTCATTCCCTACTAATAAATCTACATCACTTAAAATATAAATCCGGGGACATTAAATGAAATCTGGGGACATTCCAGGGATGGATTTTGTCCAGGGACGGATTTTATCCGGGGACAGATTTGTAAATCTGGGGACTGTCCCTGGGAAATGGGGACGTCTGGTAACCATACTTTAAATGGGGTAAAAAGACCTCTTCAGTCAGGGAATATAACATGTGAGGAGGAGCTTTGGGGACAAGTATGTTAGCTATGCCTTCTGACCCTGCCTCCCTCTGCAAGTTGAAGGGCGACTGTCCAAAATGGACTGCCTGTTTCTGCTCCCCACTGTGGCAGAGCTTATTTTAGGCTTGGACCCTCATTTGGTGTTATTCCCCCTCCTCTCCCAGCTGCCTCCATTGCCCTTTCCCCTGCTGTGTAGAAGGGTCCCGGACCCTCTAAAGATGGTTTTCCTGGAGATTTGCAGTGAGGAGGAGTGGACAGGAATCTTACCTTCCATAAACATCCTTTACCTTCCATTAATATACCTTAGGATCCAAGTCATAGTGAAATAGCATATTTGATGTATCATCTACAAAGCTGTTTTTCTGCTAGGTGGAAGTTTGATTAATTAGCACTTGGATTACAGTGAAATCTAGTGAATATGAAAGAAAACATGCTATGTTGTTCCTTATTGGGGGGAGGTGTTTGTGTGTGTATGTATCACACACCAATCCTGACCTATTATATAACATATGGTTTCTCTATCTCAGTGGGTTCTCTTTGGAAATGTCAGTTGAAATGCCCTTTGAAATTAAAAACATTAGCAGCTGGACACATCAGCTTGAAATAAAGGTAAGCAAATCTCCCTGGTACATCTGTTTTTCAGGGCAGGGCAGTTCGTAATTGGGGGGTGGGGAAAATAAGTGAGCCGAATTGCACCTCCTGTTTTAAAAGGAACTATCTATATTTGTGCAGAAGTCAAGCTTGTAACATGGAAATGTGGATAAAGAGATAGAGAGAGGCAGATAGATAATTATACCGTGCCTTTCTAGATGTGCAGTTGTAAGGTGCTTTACAAAGGAATCATGAATAAGACAACCCCTGCCACCCCACACTCTCAAACATCACAAGTACAGTGGTACCTTGGTTTGCATATTTCTTGGTCTGCATATGTTTTGGATTACAAACATGTCAAACCCAGAAGTGCATGTCCCGGTTTGCAACCTTTTTTTGGATTACAACCCATTTTTTTGGATTATGAACAAAAAAAAATTTGGAGGCCCCATTGGCGAAAGTGTGTGTGGTGTTTGCCCTCCTATGTGTGTGACATCATACTGGGTTCATAGGGAAAGGGTTAACTAATTGTAAAATGACTAACCAATGGGAACCCAAGGGGCAGAGTTAACTGTGTATAAGGTTTAAGCACAGAGAGGAGTTAGAGTTAGAGTGGTTGAGAAGACAGTCTGGAGTTAGACTAGAGAGGGAAGATAAGTCTGTGGGTTGGGCTAGTCTGGTGTGAGAGAGTGAGAAAATTTGTTAAGAGGAGTCAGTCAAACAGTTGAGATAATCAATCAGAAGGTATTAGGAAGGTATAGGCCGGTAAAGAAACTAAAGTTAAGATACTGACAGGAATATTATCTGAGAAACCATAAACTTGTTAATGTTTGTAAAATAAACTTGTTTTTTTTGGTTCACTTTTAACAACTGACTGGACTGTGTTTTACCAGAGAGTAACTGGTTGGTGGCAGCGGGGAAGAGAGCACAGTGGTGGCACAGGGATCAATAGACCGTTAAACGTTTGGGGACCCTGTGTGATCGCCACAGTGCACCTTGGGTTACAACCTGTTTTGGTTTACAAACGGACCTTTGGAATGGATTATGGTTGTAAACCAAGGTACCACTGTACATCATATTTTTTTGTTGGGGAGCTAAATTGGGAGGGGACCTCTCAAAAGATTAGGATTCAAATTATTCAGGCCTTTTTGCAACAACAGAGTCCCACCCCCCTTCTCTCTCCTCTCCCTTCCCACTTTCAGAAAACTGACTGTAAAGCTGTGGTTCGGACTGTTGACAACAGTTTCTTGGACACCAGTGGCTTTGCAATGGAAATCCTTATCGGTGATGTTCATTTGCCCAGAATGTGGGTAGAAAAGCACCCGGGCAATGAGACTGAGGTAACTCCTGTTTTATTCTTTCTTTAAGATATTTTCGATTGCATCTTTGAATGACTCTTCCAGGGGCAGTTTACTTATAGTACATTGAAAGAAAACAATAAAAATGCAGCAGCTGTGAAAATAATAACTAAAAACAAACAAACCATTTGAGCAGCAATAAAGAGATCAGCATCTGTTCTTATAGAACAAACTAGACGTGATGTTAAGTTTTCATTTAATGTGCCGATTTCTTTTAAAAGCAAGCAGCATTGGCAAAAGAGGGAAGCTGATAATTAACAGGGCCCAGTTGGGAATTTTCTCTCAATATAAAGACCAGCTTTAGAAAAGGGCTTTTTCTCAAGACCGCAATAGTTTTAAGGGGGGTAGGGAGGGTTAGATTTCCTCTCCATGCCTGCTTCTAACCCGGCATGTTATAAACAAAGACCAGGCCCTGCACAGCCAGGCAGATCATAGAATTGTAGAGATGGAAGGGACCACGAGGGTCATCTAGTCCCTACAATGCAGGAATCTTTTTCCCAGCATGGGGCTCGATCCCACAGCCCTGTTGGGGCCCACGTGCTGCGGCCCAGCCCACGGGGGCTGACCCTGCTACCATCCTTGTTTAGGGTCCCACCTGGCATTGCAGCCACTATTGGTTCAAGCCCTCTGCTTGGCGCAACAGCCAGTTATGCCTTTCTCCCCCAGGTGTGTTTAACCTGTAGCAGCGCAGTACTCCCTCTTGGGTCCACTAAAGAATCCTTCCTGAAGCATCTTGTATGGATCTGGCCAGTTTACTTTTGGTTTTTTTAAAATGATGATGTTTTTGGCACACAAAGAAGACTGGCAGGTCCTTTTCCAGTTTCTGGATCCCAGCAAATACACAGGTTTGCTGGCCTTTCCAACTTCTGGCTGTGCCTTTCTCTCTTGTTTTGGCATTGTGGACATTTGCCTGACACCCCTGGTGAACTAAGGCTTCGTCGCTGTTGCCCATCTTTTAGAAGACATCTGAAGGCAGCCCTGTTCAGGGAAGCTTTTAATGTTTGATGTATTAGAGTATTTTAATATTTTTTTTGGAAGCCGCCCAGAGTGGCTGGGGAAGCCCAGCCAGATGGGCGGGGTACAAATAATAAATCATCATCATCATCATCATCTTCGTCCTTTTAGGCGTGCATGCTTGTGTTTCAACCGGAGTTCGAATCGGCACTTGACCCTCGAAGCACCAGCGGGGAAACTGTGATCTGCCTCGATTGCTCCAATTCCATGGGAGGTTCGACATTCCAGCAAGCCAAGCAGATTGCCCTCTATGCTCTAGAGTTGTGTACTTTTACTTCGAGAAATATAAGCGTTATCAAATTCGGCACAAGTAAGAAAAGAGCTCTTGAACTATGACATGTTTCTCTCTTTCTCTCTCTTTGTATATTTCACTCTCCATGCAGTGTGTGATCTTTGGAACACCCTAAGGCTCAGGGCTGATCTGTTGGCTTTATGCAGACATTTGCAATTGATTGATGCTGTTGTCTAAAATGCGTATTATTTCTTTCATCCGGAGGCATCCCTCGGGAGGCTTATTGTTTTATTTAGCACCTTAAGGGTGCAATCCCACCCTCTGCTCAGGGTTGGCACAATGATCAGGTCCAGATCAGACCCAATGACAGGAATCCTGGGGCAGCTCATCCCTCTTTTCTTCCTTTCCTGATAATTTCTCAGGGCTTTCCACTGGCCCGTCAGCAGAAATAGCCCAGCAAGCTGCCTCCTTGCATTTTCGGCTGGCAGAAGGTCGGTGCCTGGCAGGAAGCCAACTCATCCAGCAGAGCTTAGTGGAAGGACACCTCTGCACAGTGCACACCCCCACAGCCTGACAAAAAGGGATGTTGATGTTGGATTTCTCTGCCAGCATGCTATTTCTTTGCTATACACCGCTTAACCTGGGAGTAAGCTTCGTTTAATCCAGTGAGACGTACTTTGGCATAGATTTGCATAGGGCTCCACTGTAAAAATACAGAACTTCCTTTATTAATAAAGTTCTGTGTTGTTCTGGTTTTCCTGTACAGGTTTTGAAGAATTTCCTTTCGATCCTAAACCCCACATGGCGGATCTTGCAGCTCTGAAAAACTTTATTATAGTAAGTGCATATGTTTTAGCATGTTTTTAATATTTTGTTCCTCTTCATGGATCACTGCCTTGCCGTGGCGAAGGGGCTTGAATAACTCAGAGAAGCTATGAGCTATGCCGTGCAGGGCCACCCAAGATGGACAGGTCATAGTGGAGAGTTTTGACCAAATGTGATCCACCTGGAGCAGGAACCGGCAAGCCACTCCAGTATCCCTGCCAAGAAAACTCCATGGACAAAGACAACAGGCATATAAAAGTTATGACGCTGGAAGATGAGCCCCTCAGGTCGGAAGGTGTCCAACATGCTACTGAGGAAGAGCGGAGGACAAGTACAAGTAGATCCAGAGCTGATGAAGCGGCTGGGCCAAAGCCGAAAGGACGCTCAGTTGCGGATATGCATGGAAGCGAAAGGAAAGTCCAATGCTGTAAAGAAAAATATTGCATAGGAACCTGGAATGTAAGAACCATGAACCTGGGTAAGTTGGATGTGGTCAAAAATGAGATGGCAAGAATAAATATTGACATCTTGGGCATCAGTGAACTAAAATGGACGGGAATGGGCGAATTCAGTTCGGATGACTATCATATCTACTACTGTGGACAAGAAACCCGTAAAAGAAATGGAGTGGCCCTCATAGTCAACAAAAGAGTGGCGAAAGCTGTACTGGGATGCAATCTCAAAAATGATAGAATGATCTCGATACAAATCCAAGGCAGACCTTTTAACATCACAGTAATCCAAGTTTATGCACCAACTACTGGTGCTGAAGAAACTGAAATTGACCAATTCTATGAAGACTTACAAGACCTTATAGAAGTGACACCAAAGAAGGATGTTCTGCTCATAATAGGGGATTGGAATGCTAAAGTAGGGAGTCAAGAGATAAAAGGAACCACTGGCAAGTTTGGCCTTGGAGTTCAAAACGAAGCAGGGCAAAGGCTAATAGAGTTCTGTCAAGAGAACAAGCTGGTCATCACAAACACTCTTTTCCAACAACACAAGAGACGACTCTACACATGGACATCACCAGATGGGCAGCATCGAAATCAGATTGATTATATTCTCTGCAGCCAAAGATGGAGAAGCTCTATACAGTCAGCAAAAACAAGACCTGGAGCTGACTGTGGCTCAGATCATCAGCTTCTTATAGCAAAATTCAAGCTTAAACTGAAGAAAGTAGGAAAAACTACTGGGCCGGTAAGATACAATCTAAGTCAAATCCCTTATGAATACACAGTGGAAGTGAGGAACAGGTTTAAGGATTTAGATTTGGTGGACAGAGTGCCTGAAGAACTATGGATGGAGGCTCGTAACATTATACAAGAGGCAGCAACTAAAACCATCCCAATGAAAAGGAAATGCAAGAAAGCAAAGTGGCTGTCCAACGAGGCCTTACAAATAGTGGGGGAGAGAAGGCAAGCAAAATGCGAGGGAGATAGTGAAAGATACAGGAAATTGAATGCAGATTTCCAAAAAATAGCAAGGAGAGACAAGAAGGCCTTCTTAAATGAGCAATGCAAAGAAATAGAGGAAAACAATAGAATGGGAAGAACCAGAGATTTGTTTAAGAAAATTGGAGATATGAAAGGAACATTTTGTACAAAGATTTCCATAATAAAAGACAAAAGTGGAAAGGACCTAACAGAAGCAGAAGACATCAAGAAGAGGTGGCAAGAATACACAGAGGAACTATACCAGAAAGAAATTGATGTCTCGTATACCCCAGATAGTGTGGTTGCTGACCTTGAGCCAGACATCCTGGAAAGTGAAGTCAAATGGGCCTTAGAAAGCATCGCTAATAACAAGGCCAGTGGAAGTGATGATATTCCAGCTGAACTATTTAAAATTTTAAAAGATGATGCTGTTAAGGTGCTACACTCAATATGCCAGCAAATTTGGAAAACTCAGCAGTGGCCAGAAGATTGGAGAAGATCAGTCTACATCCCAATCCCAAAGAAGGGAAGTGCCAAAGAATGCTCCAACTACCGCACAATTGCACTGATTTCACACGCTAGCAAGGTTATGCTTAAAATTCTACAAGGCAGGCTTAAGCAGTATGTGGACCGAGAACTCCCAGAAGTGCAAGCTGGATTTAGAAGAGGCAGAGGAACCAGAGACCAAATTGCAAACATGCGCTGGATTATGGAGAAAGCTAGAGAGTTCCAGAAAGACATCTACTTCTGCTTCATTGACTATGCAAAAGCCTTTGACTGTGTGGACCACAGCAAACTATGGCAAGTTCTTAAAGAAATGGGAGTGCCTGATCACCTCATCTGTCTCCTGAGAAATCTCTATGTGGGACAAGAAGCTACAGTTAGAACTGGATATGGAACAACTGATTGGTTCAAAATTGGGAAAGGAGTACGACAAGGCTGTATATTGTCCCCCTGCTTATTTAACTTATATGCAGAATTCATCATGCGAAAGGCTGGGCTGGATGAATCCCAAGCCGGAATTAAGATCGCCGGAAGAAATATCAACAACCTCAGATATGCAGATGACACAACCTTGATGGCAGAAAGTGAGGAGGAATTAAAGAACCTTTTAATGAGGGTGAAAGAGGAGAGCGCAAAATATGGTCTGAAGCTCAACATCAAAAAAACGAAGATCATGGCCACTGGTCCCATCACCTCCTGGCAAATAGAAGGGGAAGAAATGGAGGCAGTGAAAGATTTTATTTTCTTGGGCTCCATGATCACTGCAGATGGTGACAGCAGCCACGAAATTAAAAGACGCCTGCTCCTTGGGAGAAAGGCGATGGCAAATCTAGACAACATCTTAAAAAGTAGAGACATCACATTACCAACAAAGGTCTGTATAGTTAAAGCCATGGTTTTCCCAGTAGTGATGTATGGAAGTGAGAGCTGGACCATAAAGAAGGCTGATCGCCGAAGAATTGATGCTTTTGAATTATGGTGCTGGAGGAGACTCTTGAGAGTCCCATGGACTGCAAGAAGATCAAACGCATCCATTCTTAAGGAAATCAGACCTGAGTGCTCACTGGAAGGACAGATCGTGAAGTTGAGGCTCCAATACTTTGGCCACCTCATGAGAAGAGAAGACTCCCTGGAAAAGACCCTGATGTTGGGAAAGATGGAGGGCACAAGGAGAAGGGGACGACAGAGGATGAGATGGTTGGATAGTGTTCTTGAAGCTACCAACATGAGCCTGACCAAACTGCGGGAGGCGGTGGAAGACAGGAGTGCCTGGCGTGCTCTGGTCCATGGGGTCACGAAGAGTCGGACACGACTAAACGACTAAACAACAATATTTTGTTAGGAGGTGCCCAGAGTGGCTGAGGAAACCTAGCCAGATGGGTGGGGTATGAATAATAAATTCTTCCTTCCTTCCTTCCTTCCTTCCTTCCTTCCTTCCTTCCTTCCATCCATCTGTGCACTTAAGTCTTTTGTGGTCTGCCAAATATTATAATACAGTGGTACCTCGCAAGACGAATGCCTCGCAAGACAAAAAAACTCGCTAGACGAAAGGGTTTTTTGTTTTTTGAGCTGCTTCGCAAGACGATTTTCCCTATGGGCTTGCTTCGCAAGACGGAAACGTCTTGCAAGTTTGTTTCCTTTTTCTTAACACCGTTAATACAGTTGCGACTTGACTTCGAGGAGCAACTCATAGAACGCGGTGTGGTAGCCTTTTTTGAGGTTTTTAAAGACTTTGGTGATTTTTGAAGCTTTTCCAAAACTTTCCCGACACCGTGCTTCGCAAGACGAAAAAAAATCGCAAGACGACAAAACTCGCGGAACAAATTAATTTTGTCTTGCGAGGCACCACTGTAAAGTGTTTTCCCTCATGTAACAAGATCTCCGTTGTTGGCTCTTATCCGTGAGTTTCATATTCCTTCATTCCCCACATTTCAGTATCACCCTTTTATGGATTATGTTGAATAAAAGCACATTAAAAAAAAATACACACATGAAGCTTTTAAAAATCCACAGGGTTCCCAGGCAGTTTCTCACCCCAATACTGACCCATTCCAGCTAGGCTTGGCTTCAGCCGGGTTATGAAGTTCCCTTATTTCTCTGCTGCCTATAAGTCTTAGTAGACAGGTGGCATGATGATGCAAAGCAGCTTCATCTGATTGTGTCTTCAATGAATAACAGTGTGCTCATGTCTTTCAACACTGAGAAAAATTATTTGCACCCAAATTACAGTGTGGTTTCCCACAAGTGAAATGGGACCCTGAACTAATACTGCAGCCACACACAATATCTGGTAAAGAATGTTAACCTATTTGATGGATAAAACTTGAGTGGAGCAATTGACCACCCTTATCCACACCTGATCACTAGTTGGTTAAAAACAAGGGTCTAAAATGACCCTGTGTGTGTGTGTGTGTGTGTGTGTGTGTGTGTGTGTGTATATCTCATGGACAAGAAACACCCACAACATATATTGCAATATGGCATAGATAAGCAGGCACTACTCATTAGCTCATGCATATCACTTTGTGTTTTCCAAGCTGACTTACTGGTGAACTCATTTTGCTGGTTTACTGTAACCGCCTCCTTATTATGTACTGTAAAATAAAACGTTTAGTATTTTACCCTCCCCTAGTGCCCCATTTTTTCGTTAGTCATGTCATGTTTTATGATTTATATGTGTGCAATTTTGCAACTAGAAAATAAATACCTTTTTTTTAAATTACCCTTTCTTGTTACCTTCCTCCTTCTTAGTCTGCCACAGCTTCAATGGGAAATTCCGATATATGGAAGGTTTTGCATTACCTGAGTTTGCTGTACCCTTCTAAAAGCAGGCGCAACATTCTTCTTATATCTGATGGACATATTCAGAACGAAGGCACGACCTTGCAGATTTTGAAGAAAAATACACACCACACTAGAATATTCACATGCGGAGTGGGGTAGGTCCAAATTGACTGAACACTTTGTTTTGTGCTCTGGGAAAATTACAAAGTGTATTTAATATGCCAGGCTTTTAGGATGGTAGAGTGAGTCATTTGCTTTGGTTGGCAGACTTGGGGCATCAGTAGCGCTCAGCCCAGTAGTCAGGTGTCTGATTTTTTAAAAAATGTGTGTCCTTGAGCTCTCTTCTGTAAAGGATAATTATCTGGGATCATAATTGCATTTTGTATCAATGTTAAGATAAAGGGACAATAATGTAAGCAAATTGATAATATGGTGTGTCACCGCAGCACTTGGCAGTGTAAACTTGTGGGGAGAAACTAGGTTGTACCTGAGGGCGTGAAAGTGCACTATTTGGAAACCCCCCCCCTAGAAGCTAAAATATGAAGCTTTCATATCCTAAGTCAAAGTCTTGGTTTATCTAGCTCAGTATTGTTCATTCCGACCATCTGTTTTCCTTGATATCCTTTTGAGTGTAGACAGACCTACTCATTAGGGCAAAATAACCTACTCATGACCTACTCATTAGGCAAAATGAGGCTATTGGCAGGGGCTGGGGGGTGGTGAATTTGCATCTTAGGCCTTAGAGTATTTTAAATACAACTTGGGTTTAAAGGGATTTCCATTAATAATTTTAAAAGATGTCCAACTACTCCGGAAGAGTGATGGAGGTGCTGGCTCCCTCCTAGGCCACTCCTCCCAGACTTGCCTCTTTCTGAGGAAGGACCCCTCCATTTCTCTGGAGGGAGCCAGTGTGGTGTAGTGATTTAGAGCTGTAGACTCATAATCTGGGGAACCGGGTTCGCGTCTCCGCTCCTCCACATGCAGCTGCTGGGTGACCTTGGGCTAGTCACACTTCTTTGAAGTCTCTCAGCCCCACTCACCTCACAGAGTGTTTGTTGTGGGGGAGGAAGGGAAAGGAGAATGTTAGCCACTTTGAGACTCCTTAGGGTAGTGATAAAGTGGGATATCAAATCCAAACTCTTAGCCTAGTGGGGGCATGGAGCACAGCTAGCAGTGACAAAGCACTACGAGCCAGGAGCAGCAATGGTAGCTTAGCTTGACTGAACCTGTGATCTTCATACTTGTTCCTTATACACGCAAAGTATGTCCGCAGTTACTGAGCTATCTGCCCTCCCAATTCTCTTGGCTAGCTTTGCCCAGCTTTCTGCTACAAGTAGAAGCAGGACAAAGGTTTATTATTTAAGATATGTGGTTCAATTGAAGTAGAGGGAACAACCATTTTGGGTGGGACCAAGGCATGTGCAATGGCTGATGTGCACAGTGTTTCTGGCCCTGGAAGGGGACAGTACAGGGCAGGTTTACACTTGCTCCGCCAATGCACACAATGACCCAGAACGCAACCCCATGCAAGCAGGGAGTTAGTTGCTTCGAATGTCCAGGATATACTAAGCAAAATATTCGGTGTTGTCTGTTCAGGCCAATATTTTCCTGCAGTTTCCCCACCCTTTTAAATTCCACATCTCATTCAAACTGGCCATTAACTTAAACCTTTACAAATTGCATTAGCCCCGCAGCAAATCGTCACATGCTGAGATCTTTAGCCCAGTATGGAGCTGGAGCCTTTGAATACTTTGATGCAAAATCCAAATATAACTGGGAGAGAAAGGCAAGTATATTTTAATATCTTTTTTCTGTAGTCACAGAGGGGCCAGCTCCTTTTGTGAGATTGCTTTTGTAAGCTTCCTCTGTGGCAGTGGCGCTGTCTTGCCCCCCATTACTGCGGGTGCCCAGGGCCGTGTGCCCTTCCGGGGGGGCATGCATGCCATGTGGTGTGTGCACTACATCATCACGCCCCTGCCACACATGTGCTACGTCATCACGCATCCCTAGCTGGGTGCAGTGATGTAGTGGGTGCACGCTGGAGCGGCGTGATGATGTAGCTCGCGCACTGGGGTGTGTTTGCATGCGGCTGCCCCAAACTTTGCATGTTCCCGGCCCCCTCACTTAAAACGTTGTGGGAGCCATGGCACCTAGGGCCTCTGGGGCCTGGCACCTGTGCTCTGTGGGAATATTTGGGGGAGGCTTTCGTTTTTTTGTTTTACTGCGATGTTGAGATGAGGGAACCTGTGGCTTATGTGGAAAATATATGAAATCTTGTTGAGGCACTTCATGCTCAGATAAGAGGCCAATGTCCCTGTGTTTGTGCTATATCAAATGCTTCAGCATGCACTGCTGTCTGTGAACCAGTCTAGAAGTACCGTGCTCATTTCTTTTTTATTCTGAGAGGTCAGCTTATACGGAGAAAGTTTGCTTAGATTGCTACCCCGCAGAGAAACAGGATGGGGTGCATCTGTACTCCAGTGACAGAGTATCTTCACATTGCTACTTATTCTGCATCCAGTGCACTCCCACTGCTAATTTTTGGACCACCATTCACATGGCATTAGAAACACAAGCCTGTTGTTTATTGACAAATTCTGCTGTTTAATGCATTCTTTCTCAACCCAGTTTCGATCTGGCTGGAAAACGAAAGCTGCGTTCATTTTGTGCTTAAGAATGATGTGAACGTTTGAGACAGCCATTGCACATATGCAGATGAGTGGACATGCACAGATGGCAGCTTCATGAATAGGAGTTTTTATTTTGGATGGGTTGGTGGTGGGTTCAGGCACAGGGAAGCCAAAAGGCCATGCATTTCAGGTGAATATATCCCTGCCCCCTGTCTGCCTGATGAAGTGGCGTACAAAAAAACTGTGTAGCTGTATAATTCTTGTGTCCTTTTACCCTGTACGAAAGCAACAAATAATAATTTTCTGTTTCCTTCTCTGCATCCAGATGAAGAGTCAGACATCAAGAATGTCTTCTTTAGGGTGCAATGCCATTTCCATCAAATGGCAGCAGTTTGATTTTGATGCACCTGAGCTAATGTACGCACCTGCTCAGATACAGTCTCTCTTCAATCACGACCGACTTCTGATCTATGGATTCATCTCTCACTGTACTCAGGTAAATAAGCTTGTCGCCAACCTAATCTCACCACCTTGTGTAGTACAAGCAACTGCCAAATACTTTTAGCTCCATGCAAGTGCTTTGGAATTTTTTTCCCCATCTAATGGCACAAATGGAAAGTTTAAGTGAGAGTGGAGGAACGCAAGAACGACAAACAAGCTGAAGGATAGATCCAGAAGAGTCCCTTCTGCTGAAGTGAAAATGACTTTGCTAAGAATTGTGGAGCAGGCAAAACAATACTATAGCCGTAGTAAGCATGACAAATGCAGTTGTGCTGTAAGGCACAACTTTGGGGCAGTTGTCCACTTGGCACGAACAGAAGGCACCTCAAACACAGCTGAGCAGCCCGGCCATATTTTAGAGTAGAATTGTAGAGTTGCAACAGACTCTTGCAAGAGGCCATCCATCGCATGCTAATGCAGGTGATACATTATCATCTAAAAAGGACACTCCCCTTTCCCCCCTGTAAGTCCATTTAGTCTTAAATTCACAGCTGGACAAATATGCCCATTTTAGCAACCACTATTTATATATTATACGCAGCATGTATTATTTAGTTATTTAAGGCATCTCCTTCATCTTCCCCAGATGCAACAAAACATGTCTCTCCCCTATCAGTCTCTGCAGCCACAGCAGGCTCTGTACCCTTCCAACAGTTTGGCTCCACCTCCAAAGGCACTCTCCTCCATTGTCTCCCAAGGCAGGCGGATGCCAACACGCACTGTATGCCGCTGAATCATTAGTATTTCTAAGTGGTGTGCCTGAAAAACAAGCCATATGAAGAATAAAACTATGAATGGCCATCCTGAAACCCAAATATTAGTTTAAAGCACCTGTTGGAACAGGAAAGTGTTAGTGCCTGAGGGTGCCTGTCTAATCTCGGCTAGAAGGGAGTTGCATAGTCCTGGACCTGCAACACTGACTGCCCGGCTTTTGGAGCCATGGGGCTCCGTGATTGGGAGGGGTATAAGGGGTCAGGTGGTCCTTAAGACCTACAAGAGTAATTCATTTTATGAGACACTAAACAATCGTGCTGCACGCTGTATTTATGTCACCGTACTTGCATGAAAAAGCAACACAGCACATTCTGTTACCCTTAACAGTGAAATTCAGCATATTTAATTAAAATAAAAGGAATATTTCTGCTTGTTCTTCTTTCTTTCAGGCCACTTTAAATGCACTAATAGACGACAAAGAGCTGCAGACTGTGGTGTCCACAACTGAGCCTGCAGAAGACAACCGGGCACGGTGAGCTCATGCTTCTCTCATAAGCTACATCAGGGTCTAAAATAAGTCAGAATAGGGGATTTAGAAGCTGTTGTTTAAACTACCACTTTCCCCCTCTCAGTGTTCATCCCTCCTCACTCCCATGCATGGCTGCTGCTGTTGTGCAATCCGCCTTCCTTCTCACACACCCCTATCCTGCCATCTAGATAGATAAAAAGGTAAAGGTCCAGTCGTGACCGACTCTGGGGTTGCGGGCACTCACCTCACTTTATTGGCTGAGGGAGCCGGCGTACAGCTTCTGGGTCATGTGGCCAGCATGACTAAGCCGCTTCTGGCAACCCAGAGCAGCGCACGGAAACGCCATTTACCTTCCCGCCAGAGTGGCACCTATTTATCTACTTGCACTTTGACGTGCTTTTGAACTGCTAGGTTGGCAGGAACAGGGACCGAGCAACAGGAGCTTATCCCGTCACGGGGATTCGAACCGCCAACCTTCTGATTGGCAAGTCCTAGGCTCTGTGGTTTAACCCACAGCGCCACCCACGTCCCTAGATAGATAGATAGATAGATAGATAGATAGATAGATAGATAGATATTATTATTGCAGGTGGCAGAAACAGGTGTGTTTGTCCAATCAAAGTCATCTAATCAGGTCCCCCCTCTGAAATGTTGGATAAATTGTGCCCCTCCCCCAAAAGCTGACATTTGCTCTGGGAGGGAAACTGCAATTGATCCCTGTGGGCAATTTTTGTTAGTAACATGGCACAGGAGGGAAAGGGTTTTTTCCTTAAAAAAATAAAACCCTTTCCAACGTATCATGGTATTGATCCTGACTGGGCGTAGTAATCCTATAAATGTCTACTCATAACTTCCTTTTAGGTCAGTGGGTCTAAGTATCTGGTAAGTGCATATGGGATTGCAGCCTAAATGTTGCTTAAAGTGTAATAACTATTTTTAAAACTTGGTTTTTTGTATATACATACTGTATTTTATTACTGCTACTAATTCTTTGTTCTCTCTCCCCCCCTCACCTGTCTCTGCCCAATCTGTATAGATGCTGCACAAACTTGCCAGCAAGAGCCTTCATTCGAGATTATGAACAAGGGATTCTTGATGAAGATGAAACAGAACATGAGGTACGTTGCCAAAAAACAAAAGTAAAATGAAAAACATGGAACAATTTATTGGCCGCCATTTTTGTTACAGCTGCTGCTCATTTAGATATGACTTTTGATGAATTGTAGGAGGTTAGGGCCACAATCATATACATTATACGTATCCCATTGAACGCAGTGTGGCTTATTTCTGAAGAGGCGTGTATAGAATTGCACTGTAATTGATCAAACCTGCACATTACAAAAATATCAGTTCTAAATAATATAAGATTTACTTTGAAAAGAATATTGTGCAAGTTGATAAAAAAAGTTGCGTACTTTCTGTAAGCTACATAAACTTGCGTTAAATAATGGATAGCAAGACAAATAGTGTAGTATTTGACGGAAACGGAACTGCAGTGGAACAGAAACAGCACTGATTGTGGTGCATACTGGCTGGAATGGAAATTGCTGCCTTTTTACATCCGTAGCCATGATGTGTCAAAGTAGTATAGTACTATGGATTCAGATGGGCATATCTGAAGTTCCAACAATATGTGGGGTCCCGGTGCCATGTGGTTATAGGATTGCTCTGCCCAGGACCTGAAATCCCTGCTCCTGTTTCGGCCCCTGGCAAGAATAAATGCATTAGTATGCGGCTGTGTTTTCAGTTACACTTTGGGGGGGGGGAAGGAATCCCTTTCTGACAGGGAGGGGACATGGGGTCATTGTATGTGGAGCAAGACAGATGCCCTCAAATATAAAACCTCACAGCTTTTGTAGCCAGCTTTTCTTTTCAGCAGCCCACAATATAGCCATACTGACCTTATTATTGTGGGAGTGGTTTGCCAATGCTTATTTGGTTCACCATTCGGAGAAGCATCTCTTCACTGTTTTCAGCCTTATACTTCACCTGCTTTGATTAGAGCTCTTTGTGTTATTTTGAAATAACAATCTGCCTGTGTCTTACCTATTTAGATGAAGAAGCAGCTGTTGAAGTCCCAAATCATTGAGCTCAGTCTGAAGAACTCCATTGTGACCCAGTTTACAAGTTTTGTGGCAATTGAGAAAAGGGTACGTGTGTTCACTGAGGTACTTTGTATGCAATGAGCTGTCACTTAATCCTTGGGCACACTGTTCATACTTCATCAGTTCTCTTAAAGGTAAAGGTAAAGGTATCCCTGACCATTAGGTCCAGTCGCAGACGACTCTGGGGTTGCAGCGCTCATCTCGCTTCATTGGCCGAGAGAGCCGGCGTACAGCTTCCGGGACATGTGGCCAGCATGACTAAGCTGCTTCTGGCGAACCAGAGCAGCGCACGGAATGTCGTTTACCTTCCCGCCAGAGCGGTCCCTATTTATCTACTTGCACTGGCATGCTTTCGAACTGGTAGGTTGGCAGGAACTGGGACTGAGCAACAGGAGCTCACCCCATCGCGGGGATTTGAATCGCCGACCTTCTGATCGGCAAGTTCTCTTATTGACCTAATATTAATAACTGAAATTATTATTACCGAGCACCAAAAGTATAGAAGGTGCTGGGAAGAAGATGCACCCAAAGATGGGTTGTATCCTTTTACCACTTCGGTCATGTAATCCATGAATCCTTTTATACTCCTGCTCAGGGGACTCCACCCAGATCCCCTTCATTCATTCCCCAGAATCCAGTACTTTTCTTTCATCTCATCTCTTGAAAACCTTCATCTCATCTCTTGAAAACCTTCAAGTGTCTAGTCTAAATACTATTTTTCTCCCTGGAATCAAAAGATGCTATTTCACTTGTTTTTCACTTCACTTGTTTTCTTCCCTTTTTTTCAAAACAGCTTTATCTTTGTTCTATTCTTCCTCCTGCTTCTCTGCTTACCTCTTTCCCTCTTTCCCTTGGCATTGTTTTCCTCAGAACAGCTGTAAAATGCATTGCATTTTCAACTGGTCTCCATTTTGGAGAACAAGCAGGGAGTGTACTTGGTTACCCAGTTTTACTTGTTGACTGAGATGATTATTTCGCCATTGAACAATTGTTCAAAGTAGTGTAACTGTTAATCTCATGGCTTGGACGCATTGCAAAATTGGGGCAGGCCAGGTGATGTAACACAGGTGTGGGAAACCTTTGGCCCTCCAGATATTGTTAAACTACAACTCCCATCATCCCTTCCCATTGGGCATGCTTGTTGTTCCCCACACTGATGTGGTGGGCAAGCCCTGAAGGCAGCCCCTGTTTAGGGAAGTTTCTAATATTTGATGCTTTATCATGTTTGTAGTATTCTGTTGGGAACCGCCCAGAGTGGCTGGGAAAACCCAGCCAGATGGGCAGGGTATAAATAAATGATGATGATGATGTAACATAAATAAACTGGCTGCTCCATCCCATTGCACAGAGGGACTGCTCACATCATTTGTGCCTGAGTGTGAAACACCAAACTTGCATGTTGCATCATCTGTGGGGTGAGGAGGCATCCTTCACCTGAAAGGAGCTCCACTCTGGGTTACGCATGGACCAATGCAAACTGGGGGAAACATTGCATGAGGGGCTTCCTACAGCCAAGCAGAGCAGCACATAATGGAGAACATGCTGAATCTGCTTAAAGCAGGGGTGGCTAACCTGTGGCCCTCTAGATCAGTGTTCCCAACCTTGTGCCTCCAAATGTTTTTGGCCTACAATTCCCATCATCCCTTG